TCAAATAGATGCCGCTATTCATCATTAATCAAATGAAATGTGACTACTTAATGGTACTAACAACGAGCGAATCATTACAATGTCATTTTGTTCTGTTTAATATCATCAATTATTTCATTTTTCTCCATTTGTGGCTTCTTTGTTTTTATTTACACGTTTTCGTTTGGTGACAGACTCGATATATCATGACACAGCCGGTGCCACCCAGAGTAAGCTTACTATTCTCGGACCTGTTTTTTTTTTTTATAATGAATACGATTTTTATTTCATTAACTTAGACATCTGCTCATAAACCGTATCTTGATGCTATTCGAGCAACACTTCAAGCTGCTTTTTGTATTGAAAATTTTGAATCCCAAGTTGTTGAACGACATAATAAACCTGAGGTTGAAGTGAAGTATGTTTTTAAAAAAAAGGCTGGATAATTATAACAAATATTATAGTCTTTTTCTTGTATATTAGATCTTCAAAACAGCTATTACTTAATCCAGTTGTCATTAGTCGTAATCAAAATGAACAAATACTTATTGAAGGTTCTGTTAATTCCGTTCGAATAAGTATTGCTGTTAAACAAGTAAAAAATTATCGTTAACTTATTTCTAATAATCAAATTCTCATATTCATCTAAATAGGCTGATGATCTTGAAAAAATTTTATGTAAACGTTTAATGCGTTTTATGATGCAACGTGCGGATGATTTTCATATACTTCGTCGAAAGCCAATTCCTGTATGTTTAATTTTCCTATATATGTATATATATAAGATCATTTTATTTTCTTCTGTTGATTTAGGGTTATGATATTAGTTTTTTAATAACAAATTTCCATGCTGAAACAATGTATAAACATCGTTTGGTTGATTTTATAATTTATTTTCTTGAAGAAATTGATAAAGAAATTAGTGAAATGAAATTAGCTGTTAGTTCACGTGCACGAATGTGTGCTGAAGAATTTTTAAAAAAGTTCAACTGATATTTCTAATACAGTACAGTTATGAATTAACTGATATCATTATAAAAATGTATATCTATCTTTAGGAAAACTTATCTCTTTATTTTTTTTTCTTCTACTATTTGGATATACAATGATTACATGCTTGTTGATTTCATATTCTTAAATTTTCTTTATTATGATCATTCTTTTTCATTATATGTTCCTGATTTTGATAAGTAAAATATTGTTCACATTTATATTTTAAGATTTTTTGCTTACAAAAAAAAAGATTTTGATTGATAAAGTATTTGGTTCGATTCATCTTGGTATTTGTTGTTTTTATTTTTCTATAGTATACAAGGAGGTAAATGTACAGACATCGTGCATCAAATAATGTTGTGATGCTCATAGAGTTTTAAAAAATGAGATAGAAATTGAGACGATAGCTGAAACTATTGTTTCATTTCATTTTTTTTTATCAAGACAAGGCTATTTTTTATAAAATTTAACTAATGGTTTTCGAAGTCGAGGGATTTGAATCTCCACATGGTTTGTCAGAGTTCAATTTTTTTTTCGGTTAGTGGAGTTTATTCCAAGACAATAGATAAAATTTGGCTGTTCTCTGTGATAGAATAAACTTGATTCTTCACGTTTAATGATTATCGATGTAAGTTTTTATAAGAATACTTTTAGAGAAAGATAATTTATGAATGATAAACTTTAATATCTTGATGTTACATTTTGTTTACAATCATTTAATATATGTATCTATGCAAAATGAACAATAACAAAATAGATTATGTTAGTATAGCTTTAAAGCAAAAATAAGATCGAAAAGATAAATCAATTGTCGTACGGGTATAGCATAATTTTTTCTTTCTTTTGTGGTTTTCTAGAAACCAGATTTTTCAGCGAAAATCTATAGAATCATCGCCTTTTCTCAGGCATCGTACATCCGATCGGGCTGAAACTTTTTTTACAAATAGTAGAGATACTTTTAGGGTGCCTACTTTTTTTTTGTTTTGAAAAATATTCTACCGTGCTGAGTTTTGGTAGGTCTTACGATACAAGATAGAAAGAAAACAAAAAAAAAGTAGGCACCCTAAATAGTGTCTAGCATCTATAAAAAAAAATTTAGCTCTATAGAACGCACTGTGGCTGAGAAAGGTGGGCAATTTGGCGAGAAGCAATTTTTGGCTATTGTGACTCTAATATCTCATAGAAAAAAGCATTTGAGAATTTTGAGTCTATGATAACTTTTACTCTACACATCTAGATCTATCAGCTGTAAAAGTTTCAAATTTTTCTGATGAACCTTTCTCGAGAAATCTCGACAAGGGGGTTACCTTAAGCTAATAATCGATCATTTAAAATTTAAGATTTTTTTCTAAGATATCGAATCATCAACTTTATTATATTTATTTGGCCATTATTTTGTTTTCAAACAATTTTTCACCAATATATTTATTTCTTAAAAATTATTCTGTATTTTGATTGTGTACTTTAATTAATGTGGAGTGTATCTGATTGCTGCATTCACAATGACATAAGCATTTTTTTTTTCTGCATTCATACTTGAAGCCTACGCAATTGGTACATTGGTGAACTTTATCCTTTCTCTCATGACGTTATTCGATCGGGAAAGAGGAGAATAAAAGAACGCACATGACGTCATGTATAAACAATTTTTTCCTATATAACCGATGCTTGTTCTTTTGGTGCCGTTCATATATTTTTGTTTGTTTTTAATACAAAGAGTTTTACAATGAAAAGTACAAGATTATTATTTCGTATTCATTATTTATCTTCGCCAACGACAAAATATTTTTATCAATTGAATTCTATTCAATCACGATGTCTTCTACATACATCTTTATCATTAATGAGTAAAGACATGACGAAGATGAATTTGATTGAAGAACATCCACATGTGAAAACTATGTCTAAGGCGATAATTCAACATAAACGTATGTATAATTGTCATATCATGTTTCAATTATAGAAAACTTATAAGCAGAGATATTCACTTACATTGATGAAAATTTTCTTAAACTTTGTTTTGTAGAATCAGACGATTATATGATGAATCATGAAATTTACTCGGAAAAAGAACTCAATGATATCAAAATAACACATAAAAAATTTGAATCATGGCATGATCGAGTAGCTTATGGAGCTGTTCGAACTTTACGTTTTTTTTTTCGATACATTTACTGGTTATTTGCATCCATCAAAAGAAATTCAACATTCACATAAAACAATGACCGAACAGCAATGGTTAAGACGTTTTATATTTCTTGAATCAATTGCTGGTGTACCGGGCATGGTTGGTGGAATGAGTCGTCATATGAAATCACTTCGTAAGCTGTAAGATTTGAATGAAACTGGATAACAGTTTCGTTATTCAAAGGTACAATGCGTCGTGATTATGGATGGATTCATATGCTTTTGTCTGAAGCAGAAAATGAACGTATGCATTTACTTACATTTTTAGAATTACGACAACCAGGATGGTTCTTTCGTGGAATGGTTCTATTTGGTCAAGGTGTATTTTTTAAGTAAGAATTCTTTTTTTTTTAAATAATGTCATTAAATCAAGTACTTATGTTTTTTTTCAAGTGCTTTCTTTCTTACATATCTTCTTTCACCAAGAATATGTCATCGTTTTGTTGGTTTTCTCGAAGAAGAAGCTGTTATTACTTATACACGATGTATTGAAGATCTTGATGCTGGTAAACTTCCAGCATGGTTAACTTTGCCAGCACCAAAAATCGCGAAAAATTATTGGAAATTATCGGAAAATGCTATGATGAGAGATATTTTATTAGCTGTACGTGCTGACGAAGCTACACATCGCGAGTATGTTAAGAAGTTTTCTTAGTCAATGTTATTAATAATTCTATGTTTTTTTTTAGAGTCAATCATAAATTAGCTGATGTTGGACCTGATGCACCGAATCCATTTTTGATTCAAGCTAAACAAGCAGGAGATCCATCTGCCTTACAAGAACACTAAGAACATAATACAACTGGCAAGAAATAAACATTCTTTTTTGATCTTATTTGTTTTTGCGTTGTAATAATGTTTTTGTTTTCCTTTAGTTTTTTCAGTAAGAAAAAGAAAGGGTTTATTTTTGTCGGATAGAAAGTCAAACAATCGAAATAAATATAATTTTTTTGTTATCGTCACGTCCAATTGTAATTATTTTTTAAATTATTATTATAAAAAAAAAATCTTCATTTTTGCTTATTTATGTATTGTATCTGTTGTATGCTCTCAATTTTAACTTCGGTTAAAACTAACATATGACAATAAATCATTCGCTTTGTAATTAAATATTTCAAATCTTGTCATGTGAATTTATTCGAAGATTATCTCTAGAAATTTAGAAAAATGATAGATTGATATTATGTTTGATATCTATAATAAAAAACCGAATATTGAGAAAATATTCATGATTCTTCCGAAATTGTTGATCAACTGCAGTCTTATTGATATTCAAACAAACGATATTTCGAATATATAATCATTGAGAGGCCGGAATTTCGATCCAGACTTAAATTGACTTCATCTACTCCTATAAAAAAATCTTATTTCTTCAATTAGTTGTTGAATTTCACAGTTTTGAACAGTGTGCATTTCTATTAAGACGTACTGCTCAGCACTACGGAATGCAGCAATTAATTAAGAGGCCTCCTTAAAAAAGCCAATTTTGGTCAAGCTTGTCGATTGTGTGATTTCTAGCTCGTTAGATAGAAAAAAGTGTCCACTTTCGAATGCCCTATAGCTTATTGATTTTGTGATGAGATTTAAGGATATTACATAAGTCATTCTGAACGTCCCACAGAAGAAAATAATGTTTTTTCTCAAAATAAGATTTTTGATCTTTACGTTTCCGTGCGTTTCAGATTTCTTCGTCAAATTTAAACGTTAGAAAGCTGGACTTGATGTCAAAATGAAGGTAAAAACTAACTGTTCTGGACCTATACCCCTTGAATTTTTCATACTTCATCAGAGGAGTTTTCTAAAAATATAAGCGAAGAGAAAATGGAAAAACCAGGTCCTGTTAACTTGTAGCGCCACATCTTAAAACCAGCTCGACCTTTCTAACATTTGAAATGGCGAAGAAATTTGGAACGCATGGAAACCTAAATGTTGATCCATAATCGTAAGCTAACTCTTCGTAGACTCAAGGTATCGAGCTGAAATTTTTACTGTGAGGTGTCTAGCTCGAGATACACCTCCACTGGAAATTTCATCAAGATTAGATGTTCGAAGAAAAAAGTTTCACTTGTGAGAAAGCCTCTTAAAGAAATAAAAATTTTGATAGGGATTAATTTAGACCTGTAGCGAGCATTCCTTGAACCGAAACTCCTCTGATCCTAATCACTTACCGTCTAATTATGATTATTCAATGATAGGCAGATTTAGAAGCAATGAAATTATTTCTAAAAAAAAACAGAAATTTACATTCGAAAAATGGTCGTAGAATATGTACAAATGTGTATTTAGTTTAAGGCTCTCTCAAAAAAAGTCACTTTTCGTCAGAATGATTGAAACTAAGATGCATGTATGGGAAGATAGCCCGTGATCTGGTCTTTCATAAACGACAAAAATTTTTACTCAACATCTCGTATTTTCCAAAAATTTTTGAAGATTTCCGTCATTCCCTATTCGAAAAACAAGCTGTTTTCGAAAAAAACCGAAAACCTTTTTCGTTTTTTCTTAGTTTGTTAGGGATTTTTCAGTCATTGAACTTGTCATTCCTTTTTTCCGCTTAAAAAGTAACAATTTAAAAACAAAAGAACTCGGTGGTGTCCGGAATCTTGACATGCTCTTCCAAATAAAAAAAAAAATTGAAGATATAAAATGAGTCCGGACAGAGAAATCTGAGTTGTCAAATGAGCTATTTTTGATCATTGTTTGGTCGATATCTTCCTCAAAAGTCATGATATCGGACTGAAAATTTTACCATAACTTATTCACTATAGTCTCAACATATCTTGAAAATTTCATGCCATTTGAACATTCCTAGACCCTAAATTAATATCCGATTAACTCTTTGCTGCAAAAGTCTTTATACAACATATCTGATGAAATTTCGTCTACTTTTAAATCACTGACGAGAATCAAAATTTCATATTATTTCGAGAATTGTATTTCTGGCTTGAAGTCAGTTTATTGAGAACAAATATTTGATAGTAGCTAAAACTGACGTTTATACAAAACACTAAATTAAATATATTTGCTCAGTTTTTGGACATCTAGATGTCATTGACGAGGATCAAAAGCAATCAATTAGAATCAAAATTTTTCTCTGACTTATAGTTGATTAGGTATGAGCAACTATTTAAATAAATCAAAAATGATGTTTGTACTACGCAAAAAAAACATTTTCTTTTTTCTTCTGTTATTTACGACTCCTCTGAATGAGATTTTGTAATAGGTATTAACTTAATTTTCTACCATTAAACTCAAATGAATTCAAAGTGATAAACATTTTTCGAATTTCAGGTATTTAGAATAAAATAGATTTCAATTGTTTATAGTAATACGTAAAGAGACAAACGAAATGAAGTATTTTGCAGAGCAAGTCTGACACTACACATTGGTTAATAACAAGACTTGCTTGTAGTTTGGATTGAGATAATTTTGATTAAAATATAAAAATGAATGACATGAAAAATTTTATACAGACTTTGTTTGGCCTTGATCAAACATTTGCTCTCAATAAACTAACTTTAAGTTAGAAAAAAGAATTCTAAATATTTCATTAGAAAAAGCATAAAATTTTGATTCTCTCCTAGTGACTTATAAATAGATGAAAACGCACTAGACACACCTTGTGCAAAGACTTTTGCAGTAGAGGTTATCTTCAATAGTGATTTTCTTATCAAAACAATATTAAAATAACATAATATTCATTATATCACGTGTAAAAACACGAGGCAATAAATGTTTTTACAATTATATAAACGATCAATCAGTACACACCATAGACCTTCAACTTGATGCTTTGTTACTTTCTCTTTTCAATAATTGACACAGGTTGTTATAATATTTTTTTTTTCTGTATTATTACATGTAATCGAGTTTAGATATTGTGCACTTGTTATTTTTTTCGTTCTATACTCAATAATTGTCATTAGAATATGTCCTTCGAGGATGCAATGATGCAGCAATGTGCACGATAAATACGCATATTCTTCGTTATTATAAGAGAAAAATTGAGAAGATGCTAAAATATTTTTTTTTCTGGCCCAACCTCCTCATATGACTAATTTTTTATGGCGTGAATAAAATTCTATTTATAGAATTCGACGATCGTATATATATCTCAACTAAGTATAAACATATTTTATTTTCATAGACTATTATATATTTCTCAATCTTCACATAAATATATATTTTTTTTTTTCTTATCGAACGATGGAAAAAATTACTGATGCTTGCAAAGCTGGTGCTGAAAAAGTAAAAGAAATGGTTTCAGGTACAAGTAAAGAAGCTAATAAGGAAATTGCCAAGGATTCAAATGAAAGCATTGGCACTCGAGCTGGAGCAGCTATTGATGCTGCAGGTTAGTATTGTTTTTTCTTTTGTTTTCAATACATAATAATAATTATTTATATTTTAATTTAGGCGATAAAATGGATGAAACAAAACATGCAGCTCAAAAAGAAATACACAAACAACAAGCAACGCATTAGATTTGTTTTGTTGTATACACAATAAATAATCTCATTTATGAACATTCTATTATGGATCATTTTGTTTAATTGTATACTAATTTTAAACTAGCAATAATAAAAAGAATATTGAAAGAAAAATATATGAATCGTTATATGATGTGAGCTAGATGGGAAGATGATAATTTTAACGTTAAATTTAACAAAAAAAAATAATAAAGGATGATAGTTATTTTTGAGTTATATTGAACAATGCAAATGTTTTTTGCATTTTATAAATGTAATTTTTGGAAATGATTTAATTGATAGTTTTATATGGTTGAATCGGTCGAATTTTATTTATGTTATATACACCTTCTATTTTGTTGTTTTCTATAAAATTGAGTTATTATAAGACGAATTGATGTTATACGTGATTTAGTTTTTGATTTTAAATTTTCTTCGAGATTATTTCGAATATCATGCTCTGTATATGTAATTTTTATTCGTGACTTTATTAACTATTTTCTTAAATAGACGTATGCATATTGTCATTATTCGATCTAGACATTACAAACAGCTGTACTGTGCACACATATGTTACTTATCGATATTATATATGCTTGACATTATATTGTATACTAGCTATCTATCTACAGTGTTAAGTGTATGAATACATAAGATTTAAATTTTTATCTGTATTAGTTTTCTGTGTTTAAGGATTTGAAACAAATCTGTCTATAATAATATGTTATGTTCTATTTTTATTCATCACTGATTCTAAAGAAGCTCGTTATCTAAATCGAGTTTATTATCATTCATTGGTCTTCATATTCTATAATATTTTTTGCGATAGTCTTCCATCATCATAATGATAGAGATATATCCACTGTTTAGAAACTGGAAATTCAAGTAGGATTAAGTTTTAATCGTATGTGTCAGTGAGGTTGTGTGTGATAGTGGTGCAAGCTATCTCATCGTTGAATGTCTCGAATTTTATCTTAATTGATGTTGAATTTCAAATTTCTGAATGGTGGATACTGTTGTTTATGTTAAGTGTACACCTGAATCAGCCCGATCAATATAATAGTAATTGGGACTGATACATGCCTTGGTTCATCGGATGGTACTTTTCTTCATCTCAATTGACTTTTCTTTTTATATTTGATGGAATATGTTCCATCCAGGCAAAATATTGAATTTAATGTAAAAGTCGAATATTTCTTCTTAGGTTTAGTTATGAATGTATTATCATGTCGTCTTTAAAATCATTTTCTTTTTCTTGTGTTCATTACAAAAACGTTTAATAACTTTTTTTTTGTTCTTTCGGACACTAATTTAAAAAATATAAGAACTTTGGTCGATAAGAAAAATGAATATATTTTTGTTATGATTTGATATTATGTTTTGTGAAAGATTATGTAAATCAAATTGTTTGATACTCACAGAAGATAATATTTGAAATGTGTGTACTCTGATTCGACACTGACTGTTTCAAAACAAAAAAATAGGTTTGTTTTTCTTTTCTTTGCTTTGATTGATGAATCATATTTAAATCCGTGTTATTATTTTGTCAAATATTAATATAGATCTCAGTTTTTTTTTCTTCATATGCTATAGATAAGTATAAGTTATGAATTGTTTTAAGTCTGAAATTTTCAAAATCTATTATTATCAGTAAATAATAGTGACTTATCAATATTTATAGTTGTTTGAGGATATCGAACATCATCATTAATTTGACATGGTTCATCTATTGTATTTTTCAAACAAGTTCGATCGTTACATTTGTTATATTCTAATATTTTCATTTGATTCTTCTTAAACTGTTCGACATCATTTGATCTTTGACTAAAATCTCGTTTCATTTCGACATCAAGTATATGATGTATTAATGAACTGTTCGTAAAAAGATTATTCATATTTATTGTTGTTGTTGCTTTTGGTAAAACGAGAATTTTAGTAATTGAACGACCTTCAAGTAATTTTAAACCTTGTTTACTTAAAGAACGTTTTATAAATATTGGTGATTCATAGACACATTTTGTAATTTGATTACGAACAGAACCAGCAATAAGAAGAAGATCTTCATATATATGAATAACATCGTCCGAAGTACATGTCATTTCATTATAAATAAGTAAACCTGAATTTAATAATCGTTTATCAATTAAAGTAAAGTCAGCTATTGGACAATTGTTATTTGATTTTATTAATGAATGTTGAAAAGCTCGAATATTCGGCAAAATACGTAAAGCCAATTGTATACCTATAAATTGAATGGTAGAATTTATAATGATATAAAGAATTGTAACCCTTTTAAAAAGCTATTAGCTCAATACTTGCGGAATAAAAATATGAAACATGATGCAGTTGCTTTTGTCAATCACAGAGAGATTGAATTCTATCTATTTCGGGGCATACTTCTTCATTATCATTTTACTTAATTATCCAGAAGTAGTTCATATATTATAACGAGCCGTTATTGATATACGGTTCAGAACTCGAATTGGATCTCTTTGGTTCAGCTAGATTTTCCTCCAGACTATGTGGGCGTAAACTTTTGTCGGGCCACTCGGCTCGAGCTTTATTTCTTTTGTCAAATAAGATTTTCCACGTATGAAAGTAGAATTTCAACTTTGAAGACAAATATCGTTTGACTTTAATCTTTCTTAATCGGTTTCTAAAAAAAGATAGTTTCGATCAATTAAACTATATTAATTGATCAGAAAAAGACTGAAATCAATTGAGATTCATCTTTAAAGTTGAAAAATCAAAATTAAATAGCGGTATTTTAATCAATTTTATTCTAATTTTTTATCAAAACTTATTACGTGGGTTTTACAACTCGCAACTAATAACAATGGAGAATCTTTATATTATGCGAACGTTTTGGAAGTATTCATCAGCGGATATTTTACTCGTGAAAGCTTATGTTAATAAATAATAGACGTCAAAAAGTTGCAGCACATACGGATACATCTTGGTCTTTCAATTCAATAAGTGATTCGATTTATTTCTCATGCTGTTTTTTTTTCAAGTATTAATAAACTCTTTACAATGTTCTAATACATGATTACGGTGATTGTAGAATTTCATCGTGTAGAAATCTTTTTTTGTAAAAGAAATATCCTTTTAATAACGTCATTATAAGGTACATCAAACAGGACTCTAATAGAGCACAAATCCAGCCAATTCTTGACTCGGGCCATCAAAAAGTAGCCTGATACAATCTGTAAGATGAAAAGGAAGAGTCTAAATTTTTATGCATGTACTTCAACATTCCTTTTGAGATTATGTTTTGCAAAAACAATACCTATTTCAAGCCATAGAGCATCCCATAATGAATATGTATTTAAAATTTCAAATAATTTTTCTTTCGAAATAAAAAAGACAGTAACATTAGTTAAACATTTTGCAGTTGATTCATATTTTTCACCATTACTAATAAGAAAATCATAGAGACCAATACAATCACCTGAACTATAAGAATAACGACGATGTATACGTTCAGAAGTAGCTGGATGCATTTGACGATATTTATCAAATGTTTCATTAAAAAATTCATCAAAATTTTCTTCAGATTGTGTATGATGATAATATTGATGAATATCATCATCGACTATTGTTAAACTATCTTTAAATTTATCATTCATTGGAGTTGTTATTAAATGATGCCATCTCATATAGAAACCATCTTCAAAAGCAACACGAACACCTGTTATCGATTTTAGATGATCATAATCAGTTGGTTTACTGTTCGATGTAGTATCCATATTTATAAGTTTTGTATCTTTTTGAAGTGTACTAAACGTAAATGAAGCGATTTAATAAAGTACAAAGTAGAAATAAAGGATATTTTACTTGATAGATTGAACTTCGATAAGAGAGTCAGTTTCTCTAGAAGATATAGATTCTTCTCGTGATAATGCATCAGAAAAAACTTCATTCATGGTTGATCTTAATGATTGTTCTACAGAATTATAAAAGTAAATCATAGAATTTATTGTAAGTATTGTATCATTTTTTGATGACTTATTATTTCAAAGAACTAAATTTGGGTTAGTGAAGGAAATCCATCCCGTTCTAAAACCGAAAATTTTTAGACTTTTCGTTTTTTTTTTCTTCTCTATACATGCTTCGAAGTATCTTCTGTCTACCGGACATATTTCAAGAACTATTGTATAACTATAAAAATCGCAAAAAACAAAAGAAATATTTTTACCGGCGAGGATCAAAATTTATCTGTTATTTCGCTGATTTTGACAAAAATAAATGAGAACTATCTCCTATTTCTCAACTACAGCACATTCGATCAAACTGAAATATTCTTCTGCGTATATGCCATAGGTTAATCTCAGATTGAGAAAGTAGTTTTACCACAAAACTCGAATCAGTCTCCTGATGAATATCGAATTCGAATTGCTATTGATGAACTACAATAAGAAAATAGTATCTCAATTGATACAATTATCAGTTGATGAATTAAGGGATGAACTGAACATTAATGTTCGTTTTATGTAGAAGAGCAGCTTCTATTAAAAATGATTCATCATTAATTGAACTCGGACTTAGTGATCATTGACTAATGTAGTTAAAATGTTATTGTCTCATTGTAGTTCACCAAAAGCAAACTGGCTCTGGTGGTATGGATCCAAAGATTTGTGTAAGGTTTACTGTAAGTTGTTTTCTCGATCTGACATTAGTCTATGGCATATACAAAGAAGCATGCATTCTTAAGATTGCACTCAGGATTTTGATGTTTTTATTTAAACGGAAGGAGATACAAAGTAGACAACTCAGACAGTGTTTAGTGTTTGAAAACAATTATTTAGATCTATCAGACATAATGTGGGTGAGATAGAGAGAAGGGGCATTTTTGGCCTCTGCAATTCTAATATCTTCTAGATAAGAATTTTGATCTTGTGACAACTTTTTCTGACATCGTCTTAAGTCATATATAGTATTCTATTATTACCAATATTTTCATTTCGTATTGAGATAGATTCATAGTTTTGATTTGATTTATTTTTATCAATTTC